GATTAGATATATTACAATTTACCAAATCAATATAAGAATATATACAATTGCTTAACGACTTACAAATTGCACACATTCAATTATCCTTGTAATTAATTAATTGATCAATTAAATATGATGTTAAACTTAATTAATGTTGGAAACTTGGGCTAATGGGATTTGTCCCTTTCACAAATGGACTAATTTTATTAGTCGTAGTGGAGATAGGCCTGCAAATGAACTGAACACGATTGAACACCCCGTTCAAAACTCGTTCGATAAGCACCAAGGGGTGTTAGAAATCGAACGAACATAGAATGGTTGTTCAAGTTTGTTCGATTAGCAAAATGATCTGTTCATGATTGTTCGATTAATCGTTTGATTAACTCGTTTGATTAGATTGTTCGAATAACTCGTAAATACCTGTTCGAATAACTTGGTCGAATACCTGTTCGAATAAAAAATAAACACCAACTTTCCAATTCATGCTCTAAAAAACAAATATACACCTATTTAATTCAGTATTTGAAGAAAATGTAGCTTAAGCTGAAGATAACTAAAACTGAATTTTTCTGTATTGAATGAATAAATGTACAAAAACAGAACAATCTATTCTTTTATAGACAAATACAAAACTCACCATTTAGTCACTACTTTTAGACTTTATAAAATTATAGGTTATATATATATAGTGGCGGACCCATGATTTTTGCCTAAGGGGGGGCCTCCGCGGTTCCGCCTCTGTTTGTCAAACAATTAATGAAAATTAAAAAAAAAAATCACCAAACCTTAAGTAAAGGAAATAATACAATATCAATAATTTGAAAGAAAATAATGCAATAACACAATACTTTTCTGCTTGAATAAATCTATGAGATGCAAACCTAGAGCAAATTATGTTGAAAATAACATCCAATTCACGAGGAAACACAAGAGTTATTTTAAATGTCGCACATATTTATATAAGAGTTATTTTATTGTTAATTAAAATAACTTTTTTATACATTTAGTATTACTTTCTTAAAAACAATATATTTTATTTCTTAATTTTCTTGTGTCTCCTTATGAATTGGGTATTATTTTCAACAAATTTTCTTGTCTCCTTTTAAAAATTTTTACTAACTGTTTGGCAAACAATGGCAAAGCTACGGAGGCCTCCCTTGGGTATAAATCTTGGGTCCGTCACTGTTTGTGGTGCCATGTATATATATGTTGAATATTATATCCTTGACTGTTATACATTAAAATCATTAAGGGGAAAAAATACATAATATTTATAGACTGTTGGACAATCAGGTCAAACATGTCTCTTTATATAAATAACAAAATTTATTTGACTATCATAGAAAATAACACATTATTATATTCTTCAAAGAACAAAGAAAAATTAAATAAAAATGTATAATTAGTTATAACTCGAAAATATTAATTCTCTAAATATATAACTGTAAAAGTTCCATAACCATTGCCATTAGCACATTAAAATTTTTTATTATCATTTGTATATAATTACTGGTGTGTATTCCATTCCACAATGCATTCCCATAGCAACAAGCTGGTATCCGTCTCGAGGGCTTGAAGCTGAAGCAGAATACTAATTAATTAGTACATCCATGAGTACCTCTTGAGTCCGTGAACTTGTTTCCTTGACCAGGACTCGGACCCGATTCCTCGATTGCTCCAAGAGACACTCCCTCAAAGAAACTTTCTCTTCTAATATTTGAACCATCCAACTTCAACATACTCAAAGATGGAGCCTCAATATTAACAGAACCAAGAGATAGAAGAAGAGAAATAATAAGCAAGAAGTTGACAGCTTTTAGTTCTCTAGCCATGGGAGAAGTTGGATACAATGGGGCTTGAACTAATTAATAATGCTATCAAGTAACGGAGAATTGATAAAAAAAAATGACGTGTCGGGTACCTTAACTATAGTGTTATTGAACGTAGAATATTTTTTGTTTTCAGGTTTAATGTTCAAACACGAAAGGAAGATAAAGTGAAAAGAAACAATATGGACAGGCCTATTGGTCCGACCAAAAATTCCTTAAGATGCATAATATTTTCGACTTCTGCTGTCTAACTATGTGTTCATGGTCTTTCGTTTCATGGAATTTCTTCTTGTAATTCGAGAGCAATGACGTTTCAAAAGGAGTTTTGGTTGAATTACCTACTTCTCCAGGTACTAGAACTGCACGTAAATTTTATGGAACTCATGCAATTTATACGCAGTTGCACACAGATTTTGAACTTGTCCCTACTAGAACCTTCCGACCCTGTATCAAAAACATTTATGGCAAAAGTCTGCTCACATTTCCTTTTGGAAGTTTTCCTTTTTTAAAAAAGTATAGTGTTTGTTATATAATGAAAAACAATTAAGAGAGTTTGGTTTGATTATATTTTAAATAATTTTAGTTTTATTTTGAGCTTTATTAGTGAAAAGTGTGATTGAAAAAGAATACAAATGCATCCTTAATTATTTTCTTTTCATGATAATTAATTAAGTATATGAAAAAAGGAAATAAATTGTTATGCCTCAAAAGTCACGCTTATGTCAGCCTAATAAATGTGCTGCCAAGCCCATATCTGCTCAAAGATATTCACACCAACCATATCTCCTTTCAAGAAATGAATGGACGAGAGCCTTCCATGTGTCAAGTCAACTTGCAAAACACTCATTGCATTGAGTGTAAAGGTGTATAAATGGGCACACCTCTTCCCAAAGAACAAGGCTATGTTGAGATTTGAGCTTCATTTTCATTCTCTCTCTGTAAACACTGTATTTCTTCATCTTTGTATGCCTTCTAGGCAATATCATAGAAATAGTCAGAGATCAATAAAATAACAGTGGATGTAGAAGTCGCTTGTTGAGCATCCGAACCACTATAAAAACCCCCTCTTGCCAATCTTTTATTTATTTTTCTGCAAAATATATAATCTCAGCTCCATATTCAAATCTCATTGATCCATCACGTGTGATTCCTAAGTCTGCTTTGTGCTTCTCACGTGCGAGTAGTTGGCGTCCAAAATCAAGCGTTAACAGTTTGGTGGCCCATGCAGGTCCGATTCTCAAACCTGCATCCAAGTTCTCCGATCGTGTGGACAGATCATAGATCGCACGTGTCCGAGTTCTCCGATCACGTGGCCAGATTGTAGATCGCACGCATCAGCTCTCCAATCACGTGGCCAGATCGCTAATCGCACGCATTAGAGCTTCGATCATGTGGCCAGATCGCAGATCACACGTGTCAAAGTTCTTCGATCGCGTGGCCAGATCTCAGATCGCACATGTCAGAATTCTCTAATTGCGTGGTCAGATCGCTGATCGCACGTTCAAGACCGTTCAGATCATGTGTTCAGATCGCCTAGATCACGTGGCCGATCGCTTATCGCGCGCTCAGGTCGTGCTTGTTATATGCTTAGGTCGAGCCCAAGTCATGCTCGTTCAGGTCGAGCCCAAGTCGTGCTTGTTCAGATTGAGCCCAGGTCGTGCTTGTTATGCGTTCAGGTAGAGCCCATGTTGTGCTCGTTATGTGCTCAAGTCGAGCCCAGATCGTGCTCGTTCAGGTCAAGTCCAGGTCGTGCTCGTTATGTGCTCAGGTCAAGCCTAGGGCGTGCTCGTTCAGGTCAATCCCAGGTAGTGCTCGTTATGTGCTCAAGTCGAGCCCAGGTCATGCTCATTATGCGTTTAAGTCAAGCCCAAATCGTGCTCGTTATGTGCTCAGATTGAGCTCGTTTTGCCTGCTACTAATAGATTTTAGGTCGAGTTCCTACCAGATTTCAGGTCATTTTCCTAACAGATTTCAGATTGTTTTCCTGACAGATTTCAGTTCGAGCTCTTCAGTTCGAGACTGCAGCCATTCAGATCAAAGACTTGAGTTTCTGAAGCGTGATTACGCACTTCAAAAACTAAGAGGCTTCTGTTATGCCTCAAAAGTCACGCTTATGTCAGCCTAATAAATGTGCTGCGAAGCCCATATCTGCTCAAAGATATTCACACCAACTATATCTCCTTTCAAGAAATGAATGGACGAGAGCCTTCCATGTGTCAAGTCAACTTGCAAAACACTCATTGCATTGAGTGCAAAGGTGTATAAATGGGCATTCCTCTTCCCGAAAAACGAGGCTGTGCTGAGATTTGAGCTTCATTTTCATTCTCTCTCTGTAAACACTATATTTCTTCATCTTTGTATGCCCGAAAGGAAACGCGAAAAAAAAAAAAAAAAAACAAAGCAGAAAGTGCAGAGTACCGAAGAGAAAGAAGAGTGTAAATGTACCGTTTTCATTATTAAAGAGTAAAGTTGAGAGTACAACTTTATATTAAGCTGCTGCACAAACTGATTTCACAGTAATCAGTTTTACAAGAAACGGCAGCGTATCAAGCAATGCAAATGTCTATTTTTGTCTTTTCACTTTTATAGTCAACATGCTCCCTCAAACGTGACTGTATACAATTTCGTGATACTCCAACATCTTTTCTTATATGCTTCAACAAATTTCTTCCATCCTTCTTGTACTTCAATATGCTTACTCAAACATAACTGCAGAAAAAAAAAAAAATTCAGCTTCTTTCATCCTTCTTGTACTTCAATATGCTCCCTCAACCATTATTCCAGAAAAACTTCAGCACTGTAAAACTCTCAACACTTCAAAGGATTTACAGCAGAATAACACTATACAGCAACTCAGCATAACACTTCTTCAGCAGCACATTACTGCATAGAACCTCAACCAACACAGAACTTCATAGAACAAAAAAAAAAAAAAAAAAAAAAAAAAAAACTCAACCAGCACATACAAGCTGCAGCAATCACAGAATCTACACAACCCTTCAACTAACATAGCAAGCATTTCATCACTAAACTGTATAACACTTCAGTACTTTCACAAACACTCCATAAAGCAACCAGCACATACAAACTGCAGCAATCACAGAATCTACATAACCCTTCAAATAACACAACAAGCATTCCATCACTAACTTCAACTAGTACAGAACAACATAATACTAAAATTGCTTCTTAGCTGCTGTCTTCACCAAGTATGGTGACATTCAGCTTCTTCCTTAAAACAGTGAATTGACTCACTGATAAAGCCTTTGTAAGAACATTAGCTATTTGTAATTTGGAAGGAACATATTGAATGGCCACCTTTTTGGCTAAAACTTGCTCCCGAATATAATGAGCATCAATTTCAATATGTTTAGTCCTGGCATGAAACACAGGATTAGACACAAGGGCTCCAGCACTAACATTATCGCACCAAATAACTGGAGTAGTATGAAAAACCAAGCCTAATTCAGTAAACAAGCTCTCCAACCGAGCTACCTCTGTTGCCGTATGGACTAGAGCTCTATATTCAACTTCAGTGGAGGAAAGAGCAATAACTTTCTGTTTTCTAGAACTCCATTGAATCAAATTTGGTCCTAGATAAACACAATAACCACTAGTTGATCTTCGATCTTCAAGATTTCCACCCCAATCAGCATCAGCATAGCATTCAACATGTAATGCTTTTGCTGGTTTGAAAACTAACCCATAGTGGATAGTACCTTTTACATATCGTAGCACCCTCTTGCAAGCTTGCCAGTGAAGTTCAGTGGGAGCTTGTAAAAACTGACTCAACTTATTCACAGTGAAGCTTAGATCAGGTCTTGTAAGAGTCAAATATTGTAATGCACCAATCGTACTCCTATATAAACTAGGATTCTGAAATAGTTCACTATCGGTTGAGCTCAATTTTATCCCAACATTCATGGGAGTAGAACAAGCATGGGCTTCCATCATCTTGGTTTTAATAAGAAGATCAGCAACATATTTGGACTACTTCAGGTGAAGACCAGCAGATGTCCTAGTTACTTCTAAACCGAGAAAGTATTTGAGTGATCCAAGAGTCTTCAAAGCAAAATCATTGTTAAGATCTTTCATCAACTGATTGATAAACATTACATCTGAACCAGTGATTAGTATGTCATCAACATACACAAGAACATAGATAGAACCTGAACCTTGTTGAAGAGTGAAGAGACTTGAGTCTGAAACAGAGTTTTGGAACCCTTTTTGCTGAAGAGCAGATTTCAACTTTTCAAACCATGCTCTAGGAGCCTGCTTAAGGCCATATAAGGCCTTATTTAACTTACAAACAACCTTTGGAAAAGATTGATCTTCAAAGCCTGAAGGTTGCTGCATAAAAACATTTTCTGTTAGTACCCCATTTAAAAATGCATTGTTAACGTCAATCTGTTGGATATCCCAGCCATTTGTAACTGCAATGGTTAGAATGATTCTTATAGTTGACGGTTTGATCACTGGACTAAACGTCTCAAAGTAATCCAGTCCAGGAGTTTGCTAGAAGCCTTGGGCTACCAATCTGGCTTTATACTTTTGCCAGGAGCCATCAACATTGAACATAAATACCCACTTATTTCTCACTATGTTCATATCAACAGATGATTGAACAAGAGACCAAGTGTGATTCTTAACCAAGGCCTCAAATTCACTTTGCATAGCAGCCTTCCAATTTTTACTACTAAGTGCATCAGAAACTGACTTGGGTTCTGGTTCAGGAACTTCAGGCCCACCAACTAAGTAAGCTAGATGAGTGTCATCTGGATTGGAAGAAACCAATTGATACTGATTACTAAATATACCAGAAACTGACTGAAAAATCTGTTCAGCAGTTTTACACTCAGTAGTTACATCAGAAACTGACTTAATTTTCTGTTCAACAGCTTTACACTCAGCAGTTACATCAGAAACTGACTTTATTTTCTGTTCAGCAGCTTTACACTCAGTAGTTACATCAGAAACTGACTTAATTTTCTGTTCAGCAGCTTTACACTCATTAAGTACATTAGACACTGACTTGTTTTTCTGTTCAGTAGTTGAACACCCAGCAAGAACATCAGACACTGCTTTGGATTTTGTTTCAGTAACTTCAGAACCACCAACTAAGTAAGCAAGATGAATGTCATCTGAAGTGGGAGTTACCAGTTGTAATCCAATAGCTGATTTAGCTCTTGTAATCATAGGATGTATGTTTGTAGATGTCACAGCAGCATGAGAAATGGCAGAAGAATTATCCAAGGCATCTGTACTAACTGAGGGCTGATCATGTGAACTGTTAAGACTCAAACCGCTTGCTATATCAGGGAACTGGGAGCCAGTAAGGTCAATTACAAGCTGACAAGGTGACTTAGATAAGGTATCAGTGTTTATAGGCTGATTTGGACACAGTGAGATTGATGAGTAGTTGTGTGTAGGGGCAATATTTAGTGTGGCAGTTGGAGAAGGACTACTGGGAGAAAAATTACTGGTAGGAGAAAAACTCCTGGTTGGATTATCTAAAGATTGCACATGAGTTTTAGGACAAGAAGAGGTAGCTGTTGTGTCAGGGAAGTGAGAAGGTGTGAGATTAACTATAAGGTGACAAGGTTGTGAAGATGAGATTGTAGTGTGTGCTGTAGTATTTGGATTAGTGGTATAGGGAGGATGTTGTTGAGTGGTTTCAGTGGATACCATAATGTGAGGGGAAAAATTCTTACCAGTTGTTGCATGAGCTGTGCAGGACTTGTCCATGGAGCAAGGGACCGCAGGTGAAGATGTGCCAGCTGATGGTTGAAAAGAATTGGTAGTAACTACAGGAGGAAAAACTGAAACTGTCGTGGTTTGAGTGTCAAGGGTGGAGGACTGAGTTTGAGATGAAGAACTTGAATTGGTGAGGGCAAAGGGAAACTCAAACTCATTAAAACGAACATTAGGAGTAATTACAACCTGTCCATCAGATTTTAAACACTTATACCCTTTGTGAATTAAACTATAGCCTACAAAAGTACACTTAACCGTATGAAAATCAAACTTGTGCTTGTTATAGCTCCTAAGGTAAGGAAAACATGAACATCCAAAAACTCTTAAGCTATTATAAACAGGAACTTGATGAAATAATGCTTGATAGGGTGAAATGTTATTAAGAGTGGCAGTAGGCATTCTGTTTATGAGATAAACAGCTATCTCAAAAGCAAACCACCAAAATGTCAAAGGTATGGATGCATGAGCAAGAAGTGTAAGACCTGACTCTACAATATGTCTATGCTTTCTTTCACTCCTACCATTTTGTTGATGAACATATGCACATGAGTATCTAACTTGAATACCTTGTTCAGTCAAGTATGGAAGAAGAGCCTTATATTCACCTCCTTGGTCAGATTGCAAGTTTTTAATTTTACAATCAAATTGTCTTTCAGCAAGATGATGGAATTTGATGAAAACTGACCTTACTTCAACTTTAGTTTTGAGAGGGAATAGCCATGTAAACCTACTGTAGTCATCTAGGAACTGAATGTAGTATCTAAAACCTTCAACAGAAGTGCAAGGAGCTGGACCCCAGACATCACTATGTATTAACTCTAAAGGGGCAGTAACATGAGACTGTGAAGTGGGAAAACTGTTTTGATGCAATTTGCCTAATTGGCAAGCATCACAAAAGGTAAGACTAGAACTAGATGAGGTGTTTAAATTGGAGGGAAATTTGATATGTAGGTTTGATAAAACTTGTTGCTGGATTTTGGAATTCGGGTGTCCTAACCGTTTATGCCATAGACTATAATCAGAGTGATGAGTGTTGGCCATTAGACAAGACATGTTATTAGTATGTGGAAGAGCAGTATATGAATGATCAGATGTAGCCATGTCATTTGTATATAATTTAGCAGTATGCGAATGAGCAGATGTCGTAAAAACATTCTTATTTATAGAAGCATCAGAATTTGAACACATGGAAATATCATGAGCAGAAGCTTGTGAACAACCAGATGCAGTAGTATTATTAAAAATCATAGTGCTATCATCCTTCGTTTTATTATCAATAGAAGGTATACATTGAGAACAATTGGTGACACATGACTCACTCAATATAGGTTGATAATAGTCTTCATTATTCAACACGACAGATGAAACATTAGAAGAACTTTCAGGACAACTATTTGACTCTAAGGAACTTATTTTCTTGTTACAGTTCATGGAATGATTCTGAGAATTAGAATGGACTGGTTTGATATTGGCAACAGAGGTGACAGAGGCTAGTTGAGAAGAAATTTGACTGTTAGTCACGGAAGGGCTGGAGAAGGTCTGAATAGGAAGTGAATTCAGCTGGTACAAGCCACCTTTAAGGTCCCCTTGCAGCAGCATGGCTCCTGTGGACTTGTCCTTTACAATACAACAATTAGCATCAAATTCAACTATCACATTGTTATCTTTGGTAAACTTGGATATGCTTAACAGATTTTTTGTGATTTTAGGGACACAAAGAATATTTTTGAGATGCAAGCATTTAGAGTGCAGATTACTAGGAATAAAAGTATGACCTGTATGAGAGATGTTAAGGTAATCACCACTCCCAACCTGAAGTTGATCACCTCCATTGTAGTTCTTACTAATATGCAGGTGATTCAAGTCTACAGTGACATGATCAGTAGCCCCAGAGTCCATATACCACACTGGATCTATTGGGGTTAGTGATGTTGCAAGAGTGAACTGCTAATTCTGCTGCGTGGGAAGTGTTGCTGCTGTGTTGGTATGTTGTACAGACGGTGTGCCAACAGAATTTCAGTAAGTTGAAGATCCAGCAGATGCAAAATGAGCTTGACTTGAACTAGTAGGTTGTTGGCTAGGAACTCCAAGAGCAGAGGTGTTGACAGCACTAGAAGAAGGGTGAACAACAGTCTGAGCTCCATACGGTATATTGTGTGCTTGTTGAGTACCAGTTGACTGATTGTAAACACCACTAGTACCATTAAACTGACCAGAACCATTGCCATTAACAGGATCAAAGCCGTTAAAGGGCATTTGAACTCCACTAGAACCATTGAAGTTAGCGGAACCAGGATAAGAAAAATGAGTTCCACCATTACTATTAAAAGGAACTGAACCAGTGTAAGAATCTTCATAGTGAGAAGCTGCATTACCAAAAGAGGGTTGTATTGCTCCAGTATAAGCAGAGTTATACCGATGATAACATTGTCCTGCTGAGTGGCCTCCCTTATTACATAATTGACAAATCAGTCTTCCTCTTCCAGTATTCCTACCCCTTCCTCGACCATAGGTCATTCCAAACACAGGAGGTCTGTTGTGAGGAACAGGTTGGTTGTATGGTTGAGAAGGTATGATAGGAGGTTGAGGATAGTGTGGGTTGCCTAAAGATATCAGAGAGGGTGCAGTATTATAGGTAGAACCAAAAGTTTTGGCAGACTGTTGTTGATTCACTAACTCAGCTTAGAGAGGCAAATTTGCGTTATTATTTGAGTTACCAGTAGAGGCTATATTAGCAGAACAATTGTAGAGATCAACCGAGTTGAATTTTTCAAGACGAATCTCATACTTTTGAAGCAAAAACTGTGCTTCTTACAGTGTAACAGAGTCAAATTTTGACTCAATTCTGGAGGTCAAATTCACTACAACAGGATCAAACTCTGGTCCAAGACCATCAATTACATACTGTAATAAGTCCTCATCAGCTATAACAAGTCCACTTGCGGACAAACTTTCAGCAATCTCTCGCATTTTCTTAACATAGTCACCTATACTTAGATTGCCTTTTTGCGTTGTTTGGAGCAAATTCTTAAGGTGCAGAGCTCTTGCTTTGGAGTTAGTAACGAATTCATTTTCTAGAGCTAACCAAATTTTAGTAGAACTTCTACATTTTGAAACATTACCAAACATGCTCTCTAAAATTGACGCCAAGAGCCAACTAACCAAGAACTTGTCGGTTCTCTTCCACATTATATAAGCAG